ACACACACACACACACACACACACACACACACACACACACACACACAGGCTGACTTGGAAACCAGTCTTTCCTGCATGCTGTTATCCTTGGGGCTGGGTCATTCAATTGGCTGTAGCTTAGTAGAAACATGGTCTTCTGGGGTCACAGTCTCTACATAAAACTGTCACTGGCTGGGCTTGCACTCCTTTAAAATTGTCACATTTCCTCGCAAAAACCTTAAGGAAAGCCTGGGCTCACCGCGCGTTGTCTTTATAGACAATCCATGCAGCAATGAATGTCCTCTGCTCGCAAACCCTGCCACGCCTCATTATTCTGAGGCGCACATTTGTGTATGTGTGTCTTAAACTTCCTTACATTCCAATAGTTGTGTAATGAGAGAGAAAAGAGAAGTAGCGTTAGCCTAGCTCCATAGGTAATTACAGGATACAGTAGCTTGGAGAAGCCTTGGCAATCTTTCTGAGTCTATGAACACCTTCTGTACTTTTTTTTTTTTATGCAAAGACCTGCTCTTTTCATCGCGCATGCAATGTGATTGCTGGTTTGACAGTGCAGGCTACACTGGTTTTATGAAGGATTAAATGCCACCTGAGACATATTTACCCTAAGTAAACCGCACGCGGTAAAGTACAGCATGTCAGCGTCAATGCCCTGGGCTGCAGCGGAAAGGTTAGCCATGCAGGGCTCTGCAAAGGCAGGGTTAGCACTGCGCCTCAGGGCGCAGGCCCGCCCGCCAACGGGAGAGGTGATCAAGAAGAAACATCTCCACTGAAAAACACCCCACCCCCATTTTTAACATGTATGAGGAGCCTGGAGAGGGCCATCACTTTGTAAAGGTCACCTCTATCCTGATAACAAACGGAGTTGATCCTGTCACTGTTTGGCAAAGACACTGTTTAGGAGGAGCTGAGTAGCCCTGCCACTTTTAGGAAGCAGGAGTCACACTGAGCTAATTATGAGTCAGTGTCAAAGCTCAAGTTTTACCTTTTCTTATATTTTGCTTGGAGGCTAGCTGGATGGAGGGAGCTGGCTCTGGAATGGACACAGCTCAAGGCAAAGAAACCAGGAGGCAAGAGGCCAGTCCCTCATGGTGCTCCTTCTTATCAGCTCCGGACGGGATTTTAAATGGCACTTGTCCTGACAGAGGTGTCCTGAACCCTGACAGACTGTGCCTGCATCATTTGCCATACTCTCATGCAATGGCATTGGGCTCCAGGAGCTGTCTGTTGTATATGAAGGTGGAAAAGTAGAGAGGGGGACTTCCTTGGCAGGCTGGCCAGTGTGGCCGTTGCCGGCGAGGCCTTGGCTGGCTGACCACTCAGAGTACATCATCACCCTGAGATTAACGCTATAATTTTATTTGAAAGAAAACAACAAGAACAATTTTGCCTTTGAGGAATTGAGTTATTTTACAATTTTGAAAGAGAGAGAGAGCAATGGAATCAAGAAAGGTCTCCAGAACATAAGCCTGCACCCGGCCCTTGCAGGATCCACCATGGAGCAGGCAGTGCTGGGGAGGCAGGACAAGGAGCAGGCTTCCACGAGAATGGTCCATGTCCTCCTGCCCATACTCTGAAAGTCACAAATCCTGCGGAAAATGGTACTGATACAAACAAATATTTGTTACAAAAAGCAATAAATGATGCTTTCCAGATGGACATTTCATGGACACACATTATGGTATGAAATGAATTCAGGGTGAGAATCAATCATCTGAACTAAGGTAGACTTCAACTGAACTAAAAATATCAAAACTTTTCTCAAACCACAGATGAAAGATTTCTCTTATGCAGAATGGCCATGGCAAAGGAACCACCTAAAATATTTGCAGAGAAAATTTATACGTAAAATGAATTAACAGGCTTCCTTTGGTCTGGGAACACCATTATATTAAACTTAAAATAACAATAAAAACAATATGTTCATTGCTTCAAGATGTCATCTTTGTTGCTCCAATTTTTAATCGAATGTAGGAGGAGATGGCAGCGCTGCATGAGCAGCAGCAGGTGCAGAGGTCTGAGGCTAGAGGAGCTTCCTATTTCCCAGTGGGGACACCATCTTTGATGAGTCAACAGGAAACTTGTCTGGGAGAAAAACCAGGGAAAACTGCTTCTCACCACAGTGCTGCTGGAGAGGCAAGGCCACGCAGCGGGCCCGGGGACCAGCTCTATGGCACATGTTTATCCTGCCCAACCACTCTTCTTAGGTTGCTGGGCAACCTACGTGTGGGCTTTGCTCCTGCCCCCATTCTGGTTCCTTCCAGCAGCCGATGTCAGCCCTGAAGGGCCTGTTCAGCACAGCTCTGACATAAATGTGGCAAGCACAGCTCAGTGGCCTCTGAGCTGACCCAAGTGGACCTTGCACACTGCCCGGTGCCCAGCATGGAGGCCCGCCTCATGCTTCCTGGCGCTCACCGTTTTCTCTTTGGCCCTGGATCACTGTGGCTGCTGGGGGGCCATCCTGGGTATAGATGAGCATGCTCGTTAGCTGTTCTGTGCCACTGCTGCCCACAGCCTGGGCGCCCAGGGCAGCCCCGGCCTGCAGGATCTCTGGAGAGCTCGCTGCCTCCACCACGGTGTGGGAGTAAACCCCCGCACCCTCCTGTCCGCCTGGAGGCAGCTCTGTGACAATGTAGTGAGTGGCGCCCTCCGGGAAGCTGCTGTTGGATCCACCCACCATGGCCTGGACCAACTCCTCTGTTACAATGATCTGTGAGATCTCCCCTTCTGACTCGACCAGGTCCATGTGCTCAGCAGGCACCCTCAGGCCATGAGTCTCAGCCTCCTGCATGATGAACTGGGAGCCTTCTCCCGCCACCATGTGGACAGCGCCCTCCTCATTCACAATGACCTGGGTAACACCGTCCTTCATCAGCTGGCTGGCTGCGGCCGTGTCACAGACAGCAAACTGGAGCACTCCCTGAACCATCTTCTTGAAGGCCACCTGGGCTCGCTCCTGAGACGTGATGATGGCTGAAGGACGGACGACGTGGGTCAGGACTTCCATGGCTGCCCGGCTCTCCTGAGCGTCTTGGGGCAACTGTGACTCGGTGGCCTCTGTCCTGGCATGGACGCGGGCTGCTTCCTGGCTGGGCAGCTGGATCAGCACATCCTTGTGGCCGGGCCTGCCCTTCTCCTCATGCGCCGCTCTGCTCTCCACCTCTCCCAGCTCAGTGACAGCACACAGCAGTGCGTCTAAGGCTGAGGGGTTGTCAGACGGAGGGCCTCCGGCCTCAGACAGGCTCAAGATCTCCTGCTTGGTAACCTGCTGCAGCACAGCGCCACCTGGACTCAGGGCCTCGTCCACACTGGGACTGTCCACAGAGCCCCCCACGACAACCACCTGGGTGGCTCCGTCCGCCAGCTGCTCGGGGAGGATGGGCCCAGGCACCACACTGCCCACATGTGGGCCATTCTGACTTGTGGCAATGACCTGGCCGTGCTCTGTGATGTGGACCACTCTGGCCACTTGGCCAGCCATCGCCAGGGTCTGCAGTGTGGCTGCAGCCGTCTCCTCCACCGAGGCATCCAGGGCAAATTCCCCATCATAGCCCTGGATGATGATGACCTCCTGCACCTGCTCGGGGGCCGGCACCGGCCGTGGGCTGCTCCTCAGCGACTTCTCCTTGACAGGCGAGTCCTCGGCCAGGGTGGCTGCGGTGAATGGGCTGTCTGTCTCCACAAAGGTGGCTCCTTGTCCTTTCAGGCGGCACTCGTAGGACTTGGACACAATGCCTGTGGGAGACAGGGAGCAGTTAGAATATGGGCAGGGGACTTCAGAATTCACATCAGGCAGCTCTGCAGCCTCAGCAAGGCCAGTGTGGGCCTCCGTGCAGAGACCGAGGAGTGTCTGGAGGGATTACTAAACCAGGCCAGCTGACGGGGGAGACCGGTGTTACTGCAGGAGCCCAGTCCACAGGCGGGAGGCCTGGGCAGCATACAGAGGAGCTGGGGAGCTGCGCACGCATAAGCTCACTGCTCTGCTTCCCTGATAGTGGCTGCAATGTGACGAGCTGCTCGCCGCTCCTCCCGCCTGTCCCTGCCGGTCCTCTGGGATGGACTGTCTCCTGTATGGTGCTTCTCGCCAGGCGCTTTGCCCCAGCAGTGAGAACCTGCTGCACTTGGCTTCTCTCCCTCCAATAGCAAGGACAGTCAGAAGAGGCAGGCAGGAGGCAGCAGTGGGGTCTTTTAACAGAAGAAAAACCTTTCTTGATACCCAAATATCAACTACAGTATGTTTTTTTAATCAGTAAAGACGATTTTACATGTGAAATTAAAAGATGTCACCAATAAATGCGGTGTAAGCGTTCACAGCAACAAATATTTACTGAGCCAAGGTGAGAGGCAGCCCAGTGCGGCTGGAAGCAGGTTTCTCAGAGCAGGCCTACGGGGCAGGTACTGGGGCCAGGGGCCAGCTGTTCCACCTGCTCAGCTCTGGTGCCCAGCATGGAAAAGGAGGCAGGCACAGCATGGCAGTATCCCGACACCCCACAGTGGCTCAGACGCTCCTGAGGACATGCTCAGGGGCACTTACAGGAGTTGCACCTGCAGGTGACAAGACGTTATGGAGGGAGCTGGGCCCTACAGGACAGGGAGATGCCAGAGGTTAAGGCAGAGAGCTGATGAGCGCTGCAGAGCAGAGGCTCCTGGCAGGCCCACGCACCCCACGCCACGCCAGCTGCTGAGTGCTTTTAAACGGCAAACAGAGACTGTGTGTGTCCCCACACCAACCTCACGTTCCTTTTAGTGACTACACTGTGGGTCTTCAGAAAGCAGCAAGACCGTGGGGTGTGGTCAGTGCTGAGAAGGGAGAGATGCTTGAGCTGCTTTGTGGGACCAGGATTTAAACACAGTTTCTTGTTTATTGTCACCACCTCTGCTCACATCTGTGTCCAACACTCCCTGTGTCAACAGCACTTGCATTTCTGACACAACTCTCAGGACACTCTCACTGACCTGTTCAATGATTTCTTTTTCTTTTTTTTTTTTTTTTTAAACAATTTGCTTTACCAATGAGGGTGGGTGTGACAGGATCAGGAGTGAAGCTCATTATTTCCTGTTGGCATCCCTTAAAGGCAGCACCTTGATGGTGCACTCCAAGAAAGCTTCTCTTTCCAGAGTCCTGAGTTCAGGGCGCAGACAGGGTAGGGATGGCATCTTGTGTGGATGGTAGAAGTGGCTGGTCCTGTCTGCCACCAGGTGGACATGCCCGGGATGACTGCCAGACCCCAGGACGGTGGTAATGGACCTCCAAAACTTCACTAGCTGCTAAGCGTTATTGAAAGTTTGGAGCTGCAGCAGTTGGACCAACTCCATTCCCAGAAGCTCCTTGCACGAGCTCATCTGGTAACCATGGGCTGCTGTGACGGGAAGATGCCGCTCACACTGGTGCAGCAGGGACACTGAGACGGTACCGGTATCTTAAGGTCAGCTAACTTCCCCACAGGGCTCTTGAAGTCCATGCATCTGGCCTGAAGAGCGAAGAGCACTGTACTTGCTTTCTCTCAGTCACTCCCACAGCGAGAATGGCACACATGTGAGGACCACTAGGTCGCGCTGCTAGGAGATGGCAAGAGGATTAGGAGTGTTCTGAATGGCTGTGCTTGTGGTTGTCAGTTCCTTTTGCCTCACCCAACCTCCTTCCTACCAACAGCAACAGCTGAGACCTGCGCTTTGCTCTGTGGACATAGGGTCTGGACGATAAAGTGAGAGAGCAAAGGCCTAAAAGACACAGGTCGGCCAGGTCTGTGTGGCCGCCCTCACACGGCCAGGTCTGTGTGGCTGAACCTATCCTCACGCTGTCATTTGAACTTCCACCTCAATAATCTTCTCTGACAGGTCAGACTGAGGCAGTCTCTGAAGAGACCCAGCACCGAGGAACACCACACACTTGACCACACCTGTGTGTGGGTTTGGGTCGGCCTGGCTCCTGATTTGTCGACTGTCATCCCCTAGGTCCTTCAGCCCCATCACCTAGGTCTGCCAGGTTCTTTCCCAGCATGAAAGCAGTTTCATAACCAGCTCTCACTTTTCTGCCTAGGAGGCAGGATTTTGCCTGCCTTCCTTAATTCTGATTTTGGTTTGTTTCTGTTCATCCTAATTTCAAGGTCATAGACTGTATAATTCAGAGGATGTTGCATTCAATTTACCCTGCCCCCAATGATTACAAAAGAAAGGAATACTGCCATGACATTAGCAATCAGGAGAAACCACCAAAGTTGGGGGAGAGAAACATCTTGTTCTTAGGCAGGAAAGACGCCTTGCTTGGGCACCAGCCACCCCACTCCTCACTAGGAGACTGAAGGAAAAACACCTTGGGCGCAGAACAATCCTTTGATACCCTTGAAGCACTGGTAACTGCGAGTTCTGAACTATTTGCTCAGTTCATTGGAATCCCCAGAAATGGGTTCAGCTACTTCCAGACTGCTACAGGAGAGCGGTGGGTAAATACCGCTGTCAGCTGGTTCTGTGATGAAGCTTAATGCCACCAACACCTTAACCTCCGGCAGCTCGGCCCCAGCTAGTCCATCATAGTTCATGAATGTGAGTGCAGGTCCGTCTTTTGATTCAGCAATTTAATAACTCCGAGTGCTGTCAGTACTGCTTTGAAAAATAGCACCTATAAAATGTAACAGCCTCAATCAGATTGAAAAAGATTCACCCATTGAAGATTCTTCCATTTCAACCATAATGAATTAATGTGGAGCGATGCAGAAGTTCAAGTGTCATTTAAACGAATGTGAATCTCTGCTGTAACTTTAGATTCTAGCATGTACTAGGCACCTAAGCTCTTTCTAGTGAATAAGGACTGTGGCATTCAACAGTGCAAATGGCCGCACGGGGTGGACTCTGTGGACAAGGCACTGCTCAGGCTTTACCTCGATGGCCTAGTTATCGCTGTGGGGCCAGCAAGCACGCAGATCTTTCACAGCCTGTGGATGACTGGGCTAGCATTTCTGCTGTACTTATTTTTAAAAGACACTGTTGGATTTCAGGGCAACGTGAGGAGCAAACTGGCTAAACTTAGCCCTTGGACCTGTTTCCAATAGGACAACCCAGTCATGTGTAGAAGTTGGGAATGGAGTTAAAAGGCAGCCATGTTCGTGGTCATAAAAACCTCTTTATTGCTTATTTGCTCCCATGCGTAGAGATACTGCTCGTGTCTAAACGTGCGAAAGTCACCAACTTCCAGCTCAGAAATACGGGTGGGCTTTTCTTTTTGCTTAGGGTCTGTTTTCAAAGATGTGATTTTGGGTTAATCCTTATTTTACTAGAACACAGCAACCACGGCGCTGTGCCTCTGGGAGAGAAGGGCTCCAGAGTTGGAAACAATGGCACTCTGGGAGATGGCAAGGTATGAAGGCTGGCACAGCACAGCCATGATAGGGCCTGCCCCTCTGTCAGGCTGGGCAGCTAAGGAGCTGGCTGTGCACCAGACTCCTTCCTTTGTGTGTGAGCTGCTCTACGCTCACTGTCGTCATTCCCCCACAGAATAAATACCTTATGCTTTTGTTAAGCTTACATTTAATTAAAATGTACAGAATTTGTGCAGTAAACTCAAATGAAACAAATAAAACAAGGCCCCCTCTCTTGAAGGCATACGTTGTGAATGAAAAATGTCATTACAGACTAAAAAATTTTGCAGTAAACAGGGCCTACAGAGAGAAGTTTCCCCTGTAATGACATCCATAAAATACACAAATGGCACTTTTAGTACCATCCTGAATATGGCATTTTCTGTGCTCTACACACAATCTAAATGGTTTGATCATAGAGCATAATACTCCATTGGGTTTATAGAACAATCAATGTTCCATAAAATGATGTATTTATCCAATAGTAGGCTCAGCAGTTACTGGTCTATGACATTGTGGGACACAGGCGTGGGTCCCTCTCAGCGCACACGCTGGCTGTAAAACTTATCTACCACCACGTCAACAACTTCATCTCATCTGTGGCAAGTAATTTGTGGAAGCCTCAGCTTGGCTTAAAAAAACCTTGTAATAAAAATTCATAGAATTTTCAGGAGAATGAAGGCTGATGACAATAGAAAGGTCACATTGTGTCTGCACTAAAGGGGTCAAAGGTTGTTGGTGGTTCTAAAACTGAAAGTAGATTTCATGCATCGTGTAGCAGATAAAGATGGCATTAAAAAGACGTGTCGTGGGGCGAGATGCTGAAGGCCTGCGAGAGCGGTGGTGTTAATATCCTATGTAAGCACTCTGCAGCTATGAGCCAGCATGATTTCACACTTGGAGCCTCTCCTCCACAGTCCTAAGTGTTTCTTTCTATGGTGCTGGGGTGCACTGCAGATTCTGTGGTTTAGCGTCTGTGTTTTGGTTAAGCCACTAAAACCAGAAGGGGCTTTTTCACTGTCATAATTAAAGCACCCTGAATATGAAGTGATCCAAAAAAACAATACTTTCCATATAAAAATTTGGGGCACACATGACATTGTGATTCTTAAGCCATGTATAATTTTTCCTGACTTCCATTTTAAGATGTAATTTAAAAAAGAATGTTAAAAAAATCATACTTAATGTCTATTAAAATGAAACAATATTAACAGATTATGCTAATAAATTAGAGCCATATTTTAATGTCACAAAAGCTTATAAGTTTCTCAAGTGAAAGCAGGAAAAATGACAAATTAAAATTCAGTGAAATATAACCTTTTAGAAGTTTAAAGCAGGGAATACATTATTCTCACAATAGCAGTCAGCAATAGTTTAGCC